AATCAGTTGTTTAACTCTTGAAGCTGAAGATCAATAACTCCCAAGAACACTTCAATTCGAAAATGATGAATATTAGTAGTATACAAACGACAACGTTTCTTTCTTCCTGGAGGAGTATACACAACATCCATATTAAGAATATCAATGTCATTCTTGTTACAAAATGAAGTGATTGTAGCAAAAAAAAAGACTCCCACTCATTTTCCCTCATATTTTGCAATCTTTCTTTAGTTAAAGTAACAAGTGACATAGCATTGACAATATATTGACCTTTTCTCTGTAAAGCTTTGATTAATTCATTCATAATCCCAAATATTCTCTTCATCAAGTGAATTATGAAAATGAAATCAAATGACTCTATTACAAAACTCACATTATCGGCTTTCCGAGCATCATCACCATTTCGAGCATCATTACCAATCAAATCAAGAACCTCACGTATTGTAGAATACAAATCAAACACATTCAAAATCAACTTATAATGACACCCCCAACGTGTATCACCCGGCCTACCTAAACCAAGCTCTTGGTTTAAACCTCTTCCAGTCACAATTTCACTATTTTCAAAGGCTTTTGCAATTTTTTCAGCTTGGTTTCCTTTAAGCAAATCTTTTAGCCTACATGATGATCCAACAACATTCAACAAATCTCCAAGCGTATCAAAAATCCAACCACAATCTTTATTTTTCTTAGAAACGACAACAAGAGTTAATTGAAGTTGGTGAGCAAAATAATGTATGTAGTATGCAGATTGTGTTTCTCTCATGATTAGAGTTTTGAGACCATTAAGTTCACCCTTCATATTACTAGCTCCATCGTACCCTTACCCACGAATTCTTGAAAATATCAAAGAATGTTCATCAAGCAAAGAAAAGTTAGCTTCTTTAAGAGACAAAGATTTGGTATCTCCAACATGAACAATTCCAAGAAACCGTTTCTTTATCATTCCCTTTTTTTTGTAGTCAAGCGGATTCGGTAGTCACTTTTATCATGCTCGGTTTGTTGGTCTAAAGAAACTTTCAAGGATGACTTAAAGTTCTTTAAATTCTCAAACTTTTGAAAAGCTTGATTATGAGCACTATTAATTCCACCAACATGTTTTCTAAACTGAACTGGCCTATTCCAACCTCTAAACCCATTAACAAAAAATACATCTCCTCCTGCAGCTTTGGTAGTTTCATTCTTAAACAAGTAACAAACAAAGCAAAATGAAGCATATTTTGAAACACTATACTCAAGCCAAGAATACTTATTAAACCAAGATTTATTAAAGCGACATAATGTACCTCTTTCGAAGTTCGTTTGAGGAAATTTGTGCTTCTTTGGTTGGCAAACACCTCTTTGTATGTATTCTTTCCTCACTGCTTCTCGATCCATTGGATGATAATTAATAAATTTTTTTTTTCCTTTTAGCCGGATCATGTGGAATAGATATATCATTAACTTGGCTTTCCATCTCTCTTGATGAAAATGTTATACTATCATCTTGTGTAATACATGTAGATCTCATTTTGATTTCTTGAGTTTGGGGCATATTATTTGAAGGGAAAGAACATTCTTGTTCGACTTGAGTTGCTGAAGCTTGAGTCGGTGATGAGAAACAAATTGGCACTTAGGAAGAACTTGCATCATTCTTTTTGGACTTTTGAACAAACCAATCCAACGTTGCATTCTTATTCTTTCGTTGAGAGTTCATCATTTCATCATTCATCTTCTTACTACTACAATTACAAAATTTACAAATAACAATAATTATTGATTATAATTCACTATTAGTAATTATATTTATTATCAAATAAGTAAGATCTTAATTACTAATTAAATAATTTTAATGGATTCAACTTAAAAATTAAAATATCTAAATTACTTCTACTTAAATTACACATATTTAGTATACCATTTTTTTCTCCTTCCCAAAAATACATATTAATAATTTTACATATCACAATTTAACATTCAAATATTCTTCATAAAATCACTAAAATCTATTAAATTGATTCAAAATTTAATTTTATCTCTTAATTTTAACTCACTCAAATTAAAAAATAAATTTCAAAAATTTAAAACTCAAATATAAAATTTAACTAAATTTAAGAGGGTAAAAGAATGAGTGAAGAACATAGCTATCTAAGGAAAAGAAATGAGCAACAACTTACAGGAAGGTTGGTTGAGGAAGTTCATCGGAAAATTGTCGGGTGAACGGCGTCGTGGCGGCTGGTTTAGCTCAAACAAGAGACTGACAGAGCAGTTGAGTAGCAGTGGGGTTGGGCCTGTGTGGGTTTGAACTAAAACACAAAACATGAGCTTTAGTAATATGTGAAATGAATGGTTAAAAATGATATATGTTATTGTAATCAATAGATTTTAATTTAAAAATATGGAATAGAAGGTTGACACTTGATATTAACTTCCTACTCACGTCTTTTGAGCACAAATTTCAAAAAAAAAGTGCGCAGAAAAAAAGGGTGCACAAAATTTTTAAGTCTTGATATAATATATTAAGTGTTGGTATTTTTTAAAGGAAAATGGGTATGCAACTGCTACCTCCTGGGTCACATAGGTCCGTCACTGTTGTGGGGACTTGCAGTCCCTAAGTTTGTCGACGAGTCCTGATTCCCAATCCAGTTGCGTTCAAGTGACCTTACTTATATATAATAGTTTTGTTAAGAGTATACCAAGTTCTTAAGTTAGCTTGGTGGTTTGGTATTTAGTTTTGGATTCTAAAGGTCTATGATTCGAATCCCATGAAAAACATTTTTTCATCAACAAAATGATGTCATTTTGAACTTTTTGAGCATTAAAACGGTCGTGTCAAAACGACGTTGTTTTGATGAGAGAGTCATGTCATCGCCGTCACGGAACAAAGATGCCATGTCATAGTCCTATTAACGGATTAACGACGAAGTGGCAAAATTGCAGTGAAACATAAACGTCCGTGTTAAAATTGGCAAAATAGAAACGTCAGTGGCATTTTTCGAGCCCGAGCTTAAAGATGAGTGGTATTTGACGTAGTTTACCCTTATATTTTCCAGAAATCATTTTCTAATTTTACATCCAAAAATGTTTTCTTTAACATTTCCTATTTTATAAGAAAATGAAAATAGTCTATATTCTAAAACCAAATGGACTCTTAGAATGGGACGATCTGAAAATTTTGTTTAAATGTTGTTAATGATAATCGTTTTAGTTTTTAGGGTAAACTACACCATTCATCATTGAACATTACCCTCGCTTCTATTTCACTTCCCGTACTTTTAATTTTTTCAATTTGCTCATTAAACTTTCGAATTGTTCTTGTTTTGTTCACTACAAATGATTTTATTATTATTATTCTATGACATTTTTATATATTATTAAATATAAAAAATTAAAATAAATAATAAAATAATATTTTTTTATTATTAAATTTAGAATGATTTAAAATAAGCATTGTTCGTTCTCGTCACTGTTGACTACCATCAAGGTTTAATTTTATATTAAATAATACTAAAATTGCCATGTGATATCAAAATAATAATAAAATAATTCAAAGTGACCAAAACAGGAGCAATTAAAAAGTTCAGTGAGTAAATTGAAAAAAATTGAAATTACAGTGAGTGAAATAGGAGATTATAAAATTTAGTGATACATGATGTAGTTTACCCTAATTTTTTAATATCATTTTATGTATTTAAAAAATTTTAATATCTCAACCTGATTTTTAAAAGTATATTTCGTATTTGGTTAATATAAATGAAAACTTTAATTCAAAACTAAAATAGTAAAAAAATTATGTTGCATCTAATTTTTTAAAATATAAATAAACAAATAGCTATTAAATATTTAAATTAAACTACAATTATTAAAAAAATCATTACATAAATTTAACATGTGAACTATGTAAATATAAAACAATAAAATTAATAAGAAATTTCATAACACAAAATTTATTTTAGTTTATAATAAAAATATAATGTTAATGCATATTGGACATTAATTAAATTTAAAAATACACAACATTTTGTTATAAGCAATAGCACAAAAAAATTTCATTAACATAAAAAGTATGTTTAATGGTAATTGAGACCCTCAAACTTTTGGGAAAAATAATTAATGTAGTGCATGAACGTTCTTTTAAACCAAATATGATCCTCAAACTTAGAAATAAAATTAATTTAACCCTTTAAATTGAGGAATCAAACGTTGACAGTCACGACTCTTATATGATAGTTTATAAACTTACATGACAATCTACAATTTTGATGTGACAGTTCACGATAATGTTGTGGTAGTACTCGATGGACGATGATGTGGTAGATGGATTTAATTGATTATTAAAAAGTTTGAGGATTTATTTAATTAAAAAATTATTTAGATTAAAAATCTAAAATATAAACAAATATTAAGATATTCAATACATTAAATATAAAAATACTATAAAATTAAATTATTAAAAAATTAATTTAAGGATTACATTGAGTGTAAAAAAAGTTTAAGGACCATATTCATTTTTTATAAAAGTTTGAGGGTTTCAAATATCATTAAATCAAAAAATTATTATTAGAATGATTGAAACTTGTGTAAATTAAGTTAAAAATATAGATATCACGTTTCCTTATTTTTCAAAATTTCAAAACAATTTTAATGAACATAATAAAAACATATTTTTTATATTTTCATATTTTCACTTTTTTTATTTTCCAGAAATTATTTTTTAATTTTAAAACCAAACATAATTTCTTTAACGTTTTCTATTTTTTAAAACAATGAAAATGAAAGTAGTCGATATTAAACGGATCCTTAGTATTTCACATATGTTAAAGGATATGAAACATTATAGTTTCTTCATTTCTTGTCCGCACATGTATAAGACACGGATGTGGTAAGAAATTTCTTTGACTTGACACTTGCTTTACAATTATTTTGTTCTCCTCGTTTAAAGCAAACTTCAGGGTAAAAAGGCAACATCTGGGGATGCAAAATCATGAGTCATCTTCAATTTAAAGGGAAGAAGAAAAAGGAACAAAACAAAGAAAAACGACGACACACTTTAATTAGAATCTCTGAATGTTAAACAGACAGCTGCAATTCTCTGCTGTGACAATCTCTTGTATGCAGCCAAACCTAAACATTTAACGTTATTGAAATGATAACTCGTTGAAACGCCATTTTTAAAGATGGCTCAACTTTGAAGCTTTCCCCTTTCACCTTGATGCTTTGGTTTTCCTGGAGAAGATGAATGCCAAGCAACCCTTCATCCTATGCCTGCATTTTGAACAAAAGAACAAGCATTTCAACTTTACTGCTGCAAAAGATGCAGTCTTGCTTGAAAAGACACTGCTGTTTCCACTGTTTATAGTCGATACGCCGCCATCGCTCTCGCTTGAACCCGATCTATTCTTCCACCAATCGTTATCTATAATTAGAGACAGAGGTAGAATTTTATGTTAGGGAATTTGAAATTTTTAAGACGACTGCCCCACCGACACCCTCAGCAAATCCTGTCTACAGTCTTACCAGATACATCTGCTACAGTTATTTTTGGGGATACTTCAGAATTATTACTTATGTTGCAATCATTCTTCTTCTTCACCATCTTCTTCTTTTTCTTAGACCCCAAGGAAAATGGAAACACCATTTTCAAAAGAAGCCCTCCATTATCCAAGCTTCCACTCCTATGAATCTTCTGTTTCTGACTGTTCTGCCTCTCCTTCTTGTACTTATGATTCTCCATCGAATTCGAACCAAAACTCTCCTGCTTCTGATCATCAACTACAGCCCGATGTTCCACGAGATCTTTCAGCGTAAGCTCATAACAAGACTCGGGCATTTTACTAACCATTTCCATGAGCTCCCTTTGGCCTCTAGCTATGGCTTGAGTTCTCGACGACGGCGACAAGCATCGGTAATCGATGGTCATCTCGCGTCGAGGAGTAGTTTTCCACAAAGGAGGACTGCAAATCCCAGATTCATCGTACACCGTACCTCCTCCTGCCATGGCGTGATCGTCACAACTGTCATAACCATCACTTAATCTTAAGTGATCCGACAAACTGATAAAAGATTCGGGGTGTTGTTTGGTGGGATTGAACATGTTTTCTGGTGAAGAAAATTGGATGAAAGACGAAGGAAGAGGCAAGGGAGTTATTGCAGATTGCTTGAAAGGTGGGTGTGGAGCCATTGTCTTCAACGACCCTTGCAGTCACTTTTCTGCGAAAAAAACTTGGTTTTAAATGGCGACAAGTGCCCACAAATTTTAAAGATTTTACTTGCCCATAACATATCTTTAAGATATGTCATAGTATCTTAATTTCTTTTTTATATTTTGTTTTAAAAATGATGGTTAATATATTAAAATCAATTTTTAGATTTTAGGGTTACTATAGTCAAACAGTTCTAGAGGGCCGCCCCTTTGTCTTTGTATATATACGTGTGTATAAGTTTGTCATTTGATGAGATTGTGGCTTATTTAATAAATTATATTTCTTTAAAAAGTATTTTTTGTTCTTATAAATTTTAATTTATATAAGCTTATTTATTTAAATTATGAAATTTTTAAATATTAACCTTAAAATTTTATATCCTAAACCTTAAAAAAGAAGTTAAACTGTAAACTTGAATTTTAAAAAACTAAAATATCAAATTCTAAATAACATATATGACACTAAATTAGACTATGTAAATTAAAATTTATACTTCAAGTAATAAGCAGCTTGACATCACTTAACCAATGTCTCAGGTTCGAGTCCTTGAAAAGTTCCGTTGAAAAATTCACTCACAAAAGTTAGGTGTGCTACTCGGATCGGTCCAGATTAGTTAGGACGAATCATTGAAACTAGAGGCAACCAAAAATAATATTTTTTAAATACTTCAACTAAAATCTAATTCAGTAAGTGTATATATAATATTGATAAAGTTGTCTCGGACATTTTCAAGTTTCTGCACGAAAATTTAAAAATAGACCCCTATACATTTTTCAGCTAAATAATTTTAAAAATTAATTTTCTTTTTAATTCTGTGTGTAGATACATGTTTTTGTCTGGATCTAAAAAATATTATTAATTACTATTATTATTTATTTAATTACATTATTTTTGTGTAGGCTTAAAATACAAGACCCACTACAAGTAAAGCCAAGAACCTGAATCCTAATTTCAACATTCAGCAACCCATCAGACTCGGATCCGAGCCAACAGCTGATCCAGCCAGGCCCGAAGGGGACCCGAACAAGCCCAATCTTTAACCCAAATTAATTAGGGTTTGTAACCCTAAGTCATCCAACTACCGTCGAAGGAAGGTGGACCGTCTCACCGGCACGTGTGATACACGCGCCCGATTTTTCAACTTCCAGACGCACGTGAGCTTCACCGGAGCCTCCTTAGTCGCACACGAGTCGCCGTCGTCAAAAAACCTGCCAAACAGTGAACAAATCGGTATCACGCAACCACCAAATCAGAGAGAAATCAATCAAATAGGAAACCCATACTATAATCCCAAAAAATCTGGGATTCAACAGACCATATCAGTGAAACCCATAACCTTACCCCGAGGATCATCATTTCAAGAAAAAAGAGCATGAATAAAAAGGGAAACATTCGGGGTACACGGGGGGATTTTTAGAGGGGAAAAAGAGAGAAAATTTGAATAAAAAAACCAGAGAGAGGAAAGTAAAGGATTCAAAAAAAATAAGAAAAAAGAAAAAGCCAATTGACAGAGAGAGAAAAGCTTATCCTTTTTTATAAAGATCCGACCAATGTTGCCACTTGTTTGCTCACCACGATCGGAGGTAAAGTTTCCTAGGTCCTTAGGTTTCCAGAGAAGTTTTTTGGGTTGAGAGCTTTTGAAGGTTATGGTTTTTTAAAGAAGGAAGGAGATTCGGGGTCCTTAGGTTGTGTTGGTTCCCTGTTGCCACCGATTTACGATGGCCGGGGAGCCCTTTTGCTCTGTTCCTTGGCGGCGCGATATTAAGAGAGAAAGCAAAGAGGGAGAGTGAGAGAGTTATCTTAGGGTTAAGAAAATATGAGGGCTGCTGGGGATTTTCGGGTTTAATTGGGTCTTATAACTCCCGCACGAAACGACATCGTTTTTGGGGTGTTCAACGTGTTTTTTATCGTGGGATAATAGCACTTTAAGTCTCTAGTAGTTTGTATCAATTTGTTTTAGCCATTAATGCAACATTTGTGATATTCTACTTTGAGCACTTATCTTTCAATGTTTCCATTTATGCCATTATCCTACATATTATGCTATTTACGTTGGTATTGAACTCTGGTTATATTATTTGTAAATATTTCATTTCAATCATTGCTTTGTATTTTGTGGCTTTTAGTATAATTTTTATTTACCTTACGAATTTCTAGTTTGTTTCATTTTGGTCCTATAAGTTACTTTGGGATTTATTTCTGTTTTAGTACTCATTATGTAATATTTGTATATTAGTTATGACTTGTTATATTATTATTGTTTTAGCTCTAAAGTTGTTGTCCTTGCTATTTAATCCTTATTTGCTAGGTATGATTAGATTCTTATTAATATTTTAATTTATCATGTTTGTAAATGTACATTTTAGTCCAAATTTGTAACTTTCTTTTATCGATTTTTATAATTTCATGTATGTATGTAAATTATGTGATTGTTATAAGTATTCTCTGTATGAAACTTTTTATTTCTTTTTGTTTTATCATGTGCATATTTAGATAATTTATTAGCAGCTTTTTTTTTTTATAAATCATCATGATTTTATAAAATTTGTAAAAAGGGAAAATTTCATTATGAGGGAAATCTACGAAGACATCTCCCAACTACAAGGGAAGGTGCCTTTTCAAGGATTTTTCGCATAATTTTTTTGTATTCGATAATTTTCTTTGTTTCACGTTTATTTATTTTGATTATTTTTCACTTATTTTCACTTTCTTTTTGTTTTATTTTATTTTATTTTATTTTATCTTTGAAAAAATTATGAAATAACATCCTTTGTGAGGGAAATCTATGAAAATGTCTTCTAACTATAAAGGAATTGCATTTTCAAGGATTGTTCGTACAAAATGACGCATTTTCTCTTATAAAAATAATTATAATATTTTTTCTATAAAATATCTTTTGGGCTATTTAATCTTTTTGACCCATTGCATTCCTTAGTTTAAGTTGTTTTTAATCGACACTTATTTAAATAATTTTGAACAAATAGAATGATCATAATTTAAATATATTTTCGAAGTTTGTAATTTCCAATATTTAAACAATATATAATCGTTTCGGTATCAAAATTTGAGCGTTGTGGCGTGCTCATCCTTCCCCACACGTAATCGACTCTCGAACTCTTAAAAATGAATCTTTGATAAAGCACAGACCATTTTTTTGTCGTTTTAAGGTTTCCAACCTACCAAACTTAAAGGTTGGTGGCGACTCAAAAAAATAAAATTGTTTTCCAAATTATATTTCATCACCTTCCCCGAATTAATTTTTACCAACATGGTACCTCATATAGTGATGAAATGTAATTTGGAAAACAAATTGATTTTTTTGAGTCGCCACCAACATTTAAGTTAGGTAGGTTGAAAACCTTAAAGGACAAAAAATGGTATGCGTTTTACCAAAGATTCATTTTTAAGAGTTCGGGAGTCGATTACGTGTGGAGAAGGGTGACCACCCCCACAACGCCCAAAGTTTGGTACCGAAACGATTATATATTGTTTAAATATTGGGAATTACAAACTTCAAAAATATATTTAAATTATGGTCCTTCTATTTATTCAAAGTTATTTAAATAAGTGTCGATTAAAAATAACTTAAACTAAGGAATGCAATGGGTCAAAAATATTAAATAGCCCAAAAGATATTTTATAGAAAAAATATTATAATTATTTTTATAAGAGAAAATGCATCATTTTGTACGAAATATCCTTGAAAATGCACTTCTTTTATAGTTAGGAGACTTTTCATAGATTTTCCTCACAAAGGACGTTATTTCGCAATTTTCGTAAAGAAAAAATAAAATAAAATAAAACAAAAGTGAAAAGAAGTGCAAAAATAATAAATATAAATAAATGTGGAACAAAGAAAATTATCGAATACAAAAAAAATATGCGAAAAATCCTCGAAAAGACACCTTCCCTTGTAATTGGGAGATGTCTTCGTAGATTTCGCTCACAATGAAATTTTCCCTTTTTACAAATTATATAAAATCATGATGATTTATAAAAAAAAAGTGTTAATAAATTATCTAAATATGCACATAATAAAAAAAAAGAAATAAAAATTTTCATACAAAGAATACTTATAACAATCACATAATTTACATACATACATGAAATTATAACAATCAATAAAACAAAGTAAAATGTACATTTACAAACATGATAAATTAAAATATTTATACGAATATAATCATACCTATCAAATAAGGATTAAATAGCAAGGACAACAACTTTAGAGCTAAAACAATAATAATATAACAAGTCATAACTAATATACAAATATTACATAATATGAGTACGAAAACATATATAAATCCCAAAGTAACTTATAGGACCAAAATGAAACAAATTAGAAATTCGTAAGGTAAATAAAAATTATACTAAAAGCCACAAAATACAAAGCAAGGATTGAAATGAAATATTTACAAATACTATAACCAGTGTTCAATACCAACGCAAATAGCATAATATGTAGGATAATGGCATAAATGGAAACATTGAAAGATAAGTGCTCAAAGTAGAATATCACAAAATTTGCATTAACAGCTAAAACAAATTGATACAAACTACCAGGGACTTAAAGTGCTATTAGCCCAAGCTAAAAAAACGCTGAACACCCCAAAAACGATGTCATTTCGTGCGGGTGTTATAAGACCCAATTAAACCTGAAAATCCCCAGCAACCCTCATATTTTTCTTAACCCTAAGATAATTGTCTCCCACTCTCTCTCACTCTCTCTCTTTGCTTTCTCTCTTCATATCGCACCACCAAGGAACAGAGCACCAAGGGCTCCCCGTCCACCGTAAATCGGTGGCCACAGGGAACCAACACACCCTAAGGACCCCGAATCTCCTTCTTTCTTTAAAAGAAAACATAACCTTCAAAAGCTTCCAACCCAAAAAAAACTTCTCTAGAAACCCTGAGGTTCTAGGAAACTTTACATATGATCATAGTGAGCGAACAATGGTGGCAACGGTGGTCGGATTTTCATAAAAAAGGGTAAGCTTTTTTCTGTGTGTCGAGTGGCTTTTTCTTTT